GCGTCCGTGGCTGAGTGGTTAAGGTCGTTGACTTCAAACCACTTGCCCCTCACCGCTGTGGGTTCGAATCCCGACAGGGACTTGGATTATTTCATGTGAGGAAGTTATCCAGCTAGATTACGGAACGTCGGCGGTTCTACTCAGGTGCCCGTTCGTTCCTGAAATAATGCACGGAGGGAATCCTGAGGTCTTCCTCGACCAGTAAAGCTGGAGCGTCGCGATATGATCATACTGTGTAGATGTGACGTAAAACCCAATCATAACAAACAAAACCAAAAGCATAAAGATGTTTCTAGTTAAAAGCATAAAAATGTTTCTAGTTCAACAAATTTGGGAGTTAGTATTGAATATTTTGCAGAATTACAGACAGACAATGTTAACACTTAAAACATTGAATGTATTCTATAATTTATCTTACAATAGGTAATATGAATGGATGATAGCCTTTATAACTAGAAAACCCCTATATGAACAATTCTAAGCGGCTTCTTCTAATACATTTCAGACGTTTACAACTGCAGATCAATCGAACAATTTTCTTAAAGATTAATGAAATATTAAATTTATTAAAACTCTTAATAATCAGTCTTAATTGTCAAGCTGAAATAAATCGTATAAGGGGCCTTTTTATAAAAGCAAATGCATGAAATCTGTCAACCCGAGTTGACGTTTTTTGCTATATATATTTTGACCATCAAAGTACAGTCGAAATATATTAAACTATACAGTCGACTCTGCTTATAGCTAACTCTGTTGGACATTACAATATTGTTCGTTTTATCCGAAGTTCGCTAAAGGCGAATTTGTTGTGAAAAACCATATCTGTCACCGGTCACCGATCGAAATAATTTAAGCAGAACCATGCGTGTTGATATAAGTATAAATTTTACTACACCATTTGTCATGTAAGAAAAACCTATGGCTAAAGTGTATATAATAAAGCACACACCGTATAATTATATATTCTAATATTTAAATCTTTTATTTGCATACAAATTCAACCATAGTGCATGTATAGTTTGATACCGTATACATTTGACGTTTAATTAAAGCAACAGGCCCGATAATTAAACAACTCGTAAAATACGTAATTTGATTATTGTATATGTTGTTTTATATTGTTATCTAAAGTTTAAAATAAAACTGTCAACTCATCTGAAGGACGGTTTTCCTAATGGTCTAAACATTGATAAATTGGAGTTACAAAGTCCGACTAGGATATTGATTCTCCTATGTTTCATTAATATGAATGACAAGGTTCTATTTTAGTTTATTTTTTCTCCTATTTAGAAGTTTGTAAAGACCTAATCAGTTGCTTTTCCCTAATCAGGCCTTATTAATTTCTCTACATAGTTATTGTTGTTGGCAGGTCAATGATATTTAAATGATGAAATATTATACAATCTAAAGTTACACAAAAACATATAGACTATAGTAAGATCTTTAAAGGCAAAAGAATACCAGACTCCAAACACATGATAAAATGTACACTGATTTAATTAAATTATCTAGTAAATGTTATTAAATATTTCATTATGTTTTTCGCTGTTTTCATTGTTATTTATTTTCAAAAAAGTACATGATATTTTCCCTATAAGAATTGACTCTGTATTAATACACATACATTTGGTGAAATATAACGTCAAAGCCTAATTGTCACTGAACGTTAAACCAGAGCCTTCAATTTCATCGAGAAGTTTATCTATTTTGTTTGCAATATCTGGCGTTAACAAGTGTTTCCATGCTCCTGCTTGACCTGCAAAATATTGATGTTCATGTCGCTTGAAAGAAATTCTCAACATATTGTTTGTCACTGATAGAAAATTTTAAAAAAGATGTATATATGGTATCATGATTGAAAAAAAAATAAATAAATTATTTCGATGGAACTATTAAATGGGGCTTATTTGAATAAGGAATGTGGTATTTAAATAAATGGACACTGAAAATGAATGTGATTATACAGTGCATGCGGCATTGTTATATCATCTTGACTCATATGCAACGTTTGGGTTGTCATTTCGCGTGATTGTTAAGCTTTTACGTATACTAACGTTATATGTCAACTTGATTCAAAAAGGCAACTGTCGGCCCCTTATAATAATACCTTGACTGATTAAGCAACAGCGGGCATGGACATATCACTTTCGTCATATTCATATAATATTTGAAGCAAGCATCGCCGTTATTAAAATCTCCTTATATGTTTTCATGACAAAACAACTTATAAAATCATCGTTTATGTTACCTTGATTTATAAAACCACCATCCGGATTATCATAGACTTTCTTGTAATCTCGCCAGTAAGACATATTGCACATTGCGTTATTTTTCATATTTTCCACTGAACAGTAATCAAGAATGTTAGTCACATCTTCATCTGTCAAATTTCTACCGAGAAAATCGGCTATTTGTTTTACAGCTCTCGCTTTATCCTACAATGCAATGAATAACTTGATTATGTTATCATGTAGTTTTATGCAATATTTTCTAAATAATATCATGTAAAAACAACTTTTTACAACTTCATCACTTGTCTCGCAAATTTACATGTTACTTTTATTTGTTTTGAATTTTAAAACTGAATGCCTCCAGTCGAGCTAATTATTTAAGAAAAGAACGCAATAAATAGCTCTCGGGGAAGGCATAACTGTGATAAAATGCACTTGTTGGATTGTTGCGTTCATTGAACGCCGCCTTTCCTTGCTGACTTTGTTTATCATATTTTACAAGGCTCGTTTGCAATGTGTAATAATCTGCTGCTAATAGTGCGCAACAGCACGATCTGATTTTGTGCGCTGATTTGGCATCGTTGGTCCGTCTGTTTATGTTTTCAATTTTAAAATGTTTCAAACATGTGCAAAAATTGTATTAGATTAAGCTGTACCCGTAGCCACGTAGCCGCTAACATGTAAATTTAAACAGTAAAATATTGTTACGTCTGCTTAAACAGTCTATCCCTTGGAATAATATTTTTACGGTTACATCCACCACTCTGGGCCGGTCTTTATTATTTATTTTGTTTCCCTTAAGCAATTTGACATTTTCAGTTACTAGTCATGTAATACAGTTAGATCTAACCCGAATTCATCGTCTTTACCTTGCACTTAAGACATTCTTATATGTTATTCTTTGAGTATATGGTAATACCTACCAGCCAAAACAAGGAAGAGTAATTAATCTAATAAAAATATAATACCAACTAATATATACAGGTCATGAGCTACATTCAGTCTAATCCTGACACAATACTTTAATACTGACGCAAAAATAATAGAATTAAATTACCCGCACCACCTCCTCGTACTTCAAAAACAGAACATTTTTATCATTTCGTCTCTCCCAAAACTCTAAAACGTGCCGAGGCCATGGGCAATTGTGACCTGAAGGTGTAAAAAATGAAGCTATATTGTCCCCATTTGTACTTTTTGCAACAAAACCAAATCTTTAATCCTTATACAATTAAGTTCTTCTACAATTTGCAACTGTAGATTATTGCCGTTATTCTACGCTCCTTTTAGAAATGGGAGTAGATACGTTTAACATATTTTGATATGTTTCATAATACCTTATATATGTGTAAACATTACAATGTGCATACAGAAGAACGCATATGTGCATCACAAGATGGTAATGATGAGGAACAAGTGATATTTAAGTGAACATAAAAGCTAGGATCAAGCAAATATAGCCAAATGGCGCGGGTATGTAGGCTATCCGGTATGGTGGCTGATTTTGAAAACTTTTGTGCGTTGTGTGTTGGCGCTTTGAAAAAGACGACAAAGCGCCAAAGGGCTCAATGTCGAACTTTCGTCTCGTCGTCTTGTCGCTAACAATGCAAGCCAAATGGGGCGTTGTCGTAAGGCGTTTTGTCGCGATGTGACATTGTCGCTCAGTTTAAATCGAAGGATTGGCTTATAAGCCAAGTGACAGGGCGACTTTCGGGGGAAACGCGCCGCCCCGACAACGCGCATTTTTAAAGCGTGTTTGGGCAAGGGACAGGACCCCAAAAGGGACGACAGTCCCCCCCAAAGGCGTTGTTTGGCGCTTTGTCGGTGTTGTCGCGAGCGAAAAACCGAAAAGGGGCCGTTTAATAAAAAGTTTTTTGTTGTGGCTATCGCCCAATTTAACCCAACTAATTTTTTAAAATAGTAACATGCATATTATTTAGATAGAGTGATCTTTAGCAGTAACATTATATGGTTCATTCTTACTTACTAAATTGTCATATGAACAAAAGTTTTCTGATATCAAACGTAAAATCAAAATGAGTTTATCATTATATAGTTTTCATTCCCCTAGATGATAAACGGCAATAATACATACAAATACACTTATATAAAACATGAGCAAACATTCTACTGTGAATCAAGTGTAAAACATTTTTTTAATTTACCAGTCCCATTTACAAAGTCCTCTACAACTTTTTCAAATGCTTGGGTTGTCTTTAATAGCACGCCCCCCAAAATTTTTCCCCCAGTCAAAAGTGGATTTTACAATATCCTTTTGGTTTCCCTTTAGCGTTGGTTAAATAATCTACAAAAAAATTCCCTGAATTTTGCTTATATAAATAATAGTTTTTTTTAAATAACGGGGATAAAAATGTTTTTATTCTTTTTAATTTTTAAATATAGATCCCCTTTCTTAGCTATATAAATTAAATTTAACAAAACATAACGGGAATGGGTGTTTAGTTTCTTTGGAAACCCAAAAATTAGATTGAGTGCTTAAAAAAAAAATAAAATAGCACTTTGGTGGGTTTTTCTTAAAAAGTACACCCTCATCTCTTTTAAAATTTGTTTAAACATCAAAAATCCTTTTAATTGATTTGAAAATTTTTGAAAACAAAATTTTACAAAATCTAAAAAAAATTTGTACAAAATACCGGTGGGAATGTCGAAATTTTGTCAAAACCCAAAATCTGAGGGCTTTAAATTTCCCGTCAGCAAAATATAGGGAATTAAACGAATAAATCGTGAAACCCGGTCTCCCCAGAAAAACTTTACCCGGGCCCCTTTTCCTTTCTGTAACTGGTCAGGCAACATGAAGTGGTGCAGATGTGATTTTATCATACGAGGTGACTTCATTTGGTCAATGTATTTTACACCTAGAACAAACGTCATAATCAAGTGTGAAACAAAAGATATTTAAATTGATGTTGGATAGTTACAGATTTATTGAATAAAATAAATGCAAAAATAGTCAGTTGAACAGAGAGAAAAAACAGAATCTCTAAAGATGCTGCGGGCTCAATTTCGTTGAGTCTGTTCATGGGCGGTTATGGGTAAAAGAAAGTGCGAGCTAGCGTCCATGCCCCTTAGCGTATGCGTAAGCAGAATTCAACATTTAAAATAACTGGTGAAACTTTGAATTTTGAAACATCCGCAGTGTGTTCATATGGCGGTTATCATGCAATGTGACATGAGTGACATTTAATGAAAAGCGGCACATGGTCCCCAAGTAAAAACATGCGTGTGCCCTAAACATGAAAACAATGGGCGAAAGTAAATACAATAGAATGTTGAAAGGGTATCAGAGGTTATGAGGCATATCATTGATAAGTTGTCAAATGACAAAAGTAAAAACTTCGCAACATGCCCTTAGGGTGATAAAACAGTATTCAGGTAAGGAATACTGGAGCCCCCCGACTAAAAGTACACCAAAGTGGAAAGAACTAAAGGTACAAAAAACATGCATTTAACACAATGAAGTTGTGCTGGACGAACTTCAAGTCTAATAAAAATGAATTTCATAAGTTGCCGAGTGACAAGCTATCGGTCTGTTTTCGCCTTTTTCTGTATAGAAAGCTGTATGTGTAAGTATTTCTATGCAATATATAGTGTAAACTTAAACTTAAAAGTAGTATATTCATACTTGAGTTATTCCAAAATTCTGTTAGATAGGTCATAACTTTGTTATATTTGTCAACAACTTACTGTAATTTTTAACACTTTACATTTCATTTGAACTGTATGACCATATGTTATATATAATTTTATTTTGAATAAAATATATGTTAAATAAATCAGCCGCCATTAAATACCTTGTTACTTGTTACTTTTTATACAATATAGTAAGTAATACGTGAATGTGAATACATGTTACATACAATTATATTCAATTTATGAGCAAGCACATTCCGTACGTTAAATATGGTCATATTATTATAATCTATCAATGTGGCCTGGTTTGTATGATACATTATTTATATTTATATATTATCAATAAATATATTTGTGCTCTCTACAAACACATACGATTTTGTCTGCCTTTGGAATCTATAATGCACATATAGCTATGTTAAAGGTTCTAGTTAAAGTAATATCCTATGTACTTACAGCTATTCCTTTGTCATTGACATGAAAGTCCTTATTACTCAAAAACACATATACGTAAACAGTTTTGTTTCTTATATAATAAAATAATTTAATTCGGGAGTGTCATAATTTGAAGTTTAATAATGATTGTCATTATTACTTCATCAAACAGAAAATATTCAACGATTGATTAAAAAATGTCGACCAGGTACCTCTATAGAACGGAAATCTGTCATCCTTCAACTCCAGCAATGGAAAACGGTCGTCAAGATAAACAGTGCTTGCAGTTTTAAAGTCCAAGGTTTGTACTAGATACGTCATCTCCTGTGTCATCGTTGTCCCTTTGTGATATATGAAGGGAATATACAATGTTAACGAATTTGTATGATTTCATATACGCAGCATTACTTTAAACAAGCAAAATGTCACAGGAATATTTACTTTTTAACATATAACGGAATAATTCATTGAAAAACATTTTCCCACCCTATATCTACATGTGTACTTTAAACTATTAAAAAGAAATTACGTTTTAAATTTAACATAATCAGAAGTCATCTATGGAACGCTTTTTGTTTGATTCAATTTCTTTCTTTATTTCTTTTCTTTTCTGTGAATATATTTACATAACATCCTACCTGATCTGGGGAAACTGCACACCCAAATATCGTCATCCATCGTCTCCATCCGTTCTATATCATCAATCTCACATTTTAACATTGCAACCCCTTTATGTACCATTCGTTCGAACTGAAAATCTGGCTTTTCGTCGTCTTTACGTTCACCTAATGCGTCTTTTCTATTAGCCATGTCCTTTTTTTCATTAAGATATCCTCTATATATAATTCAAACCTTTTGATTTCTTTTTGAACAATGAAATATATAATATGTAACTTACCTTAAAATAAATGTTAACTGAACAATGCTAAGTTTTATTTTTTATACTTACGTTCTTATTAACATGGTAGCACCTCAAAATAAGTTTAACATGGTACCACCTCAACAAAAGTTAATTAGCTTTTTTATAATTTCAGCTTCTCTAATAACGAAGTGTTAGACTTGACATTAGTATCCATCAAGTGTTGCTCCTCATCCTTAGCTACTGGCTTGTTTGGTACTTACAAAGATCATTAAATAGTTTATTCATTACAAAACTGCACTGGCCATGACAACTGAAAATTCTTCAATAATTGCTTATAGAACACAAGGTATGTAGATTTGGCATATTACTTACGGGACCAACACACACCGGAATTATTAGGTGTCTCAATTTTAAATAACGTTTATGGTAAACGTCTTATAGATAGATAGATAGATTTATTTCGGCAAAGGAAGCATATACATAGTTGACAATATAACATAGGATAAAATAATGAGCATTATTAAATACTATATCACATACGAGTAAAACTATGACATGCTCACCAAAACCAAGGTTAACACAAAAAAGGGCAAAAAAGCTCTTATTTCCATTGTGGTCCTTTGTATTGGCGGCATGACATAGAGAGGCAAACCTTAAAATAATCATGTTTAAAAATACTAATAAATCATAAAAATGTATATCACAGTCAAATCTTGAGTTAATGATACTCCTGTTTACAGCTAGGATTTAAAACACATTACTAAAAAAATCATTTGATATTTGACCTGTTGCATGTGCAACATTTAGGTGCTTCCCGAAAATGTAAATTATTTTATATTCATTGTTGTCAACAATTTTTACGCTCAAATATATCTTCTCTGTATCATATGTATATTGTTATGATTTTCCTCTAAGCAACAGCAACCTATCGCGATTCAATTCTAAAGAAGAAATGGAAATAATTTGGGTTCATTGCACCGTAGGGAACGTGTTACAGTATCGCGTTTTTCGGTTACAGTATAGAATTTTCAAGACGGAGGATTATTTATGGGAAGATAGGTAGGTGATTTTTATTCAGGTCCATACTACTACATTTGTAGTAGTTTAGTTTCTAAAAGATGTGTTTGTGCTTTGCTTGTAAGGAATAGAATCCGGTATCTAGTCATATATTTCTTCGGATCCTGCACCGCAGATTTAACTCTATAATGTCTCACAAATGAACAGATTTGACAGTTTAAAAATTTGAATCGAGAGATCAACGCATTTTTCTCCAATTCCGACATTAGTTAAGCCTGCCTAGATAAAGTAAATCTACGAAACGTTAGTCCTTAGTGTTAAGAATGGTTTATAAAAGTAAATGACCAGATGAACCTTTTTTCCTGTTGTTAAAATGCGTTTGAAAAAATAAACAATTTTACAGTATAGAGCGAGGTTAATTTTGAAGGGTTACAGCATAGACCTAGCGGCTTTGATCCAATTGTGTTACAGTTTATATCCAAATTTAGGTTACCGTTTAGATACTTGCCAAATTTCAAACAAAGTTCGTGTATCCATTATTTCTATGAAAAAACTCATTCCTTTATATTTAATACATTCTTTAAAGGTTGTACATGTATTACTTTTTTTCTTCAGCAGAAAAGTTATAGTTTGATAGTTTGCTATTTTTCTTACTTTTAGTTTCAGATTAAGACTTTTTGCAAAATAAGTAATGTCTTAAGTAAGGACTGTTTTCACAATAACAACAGTATGAGTTCACGACAATAACAGTAACTTTTATCGAATTGTCTTGAGAGAAGAAAGATTATTGCTTCATTTCATTACACATTATAATAACGCCAATTAGTAATATAATAGAGAAAAAAGAAACCTTTACAGAAGTCCAACACTGAAAACATAAAAATGTTGCAGGTTCAGTTTGATTAAACTTGTTTATGGACGGTAGTGGTAACTGTAAGCTACCGTCCACGCCTCCTATAGCACCGGCTTAAGCAGAATTCACATTAAACATGAACTGGAACACTTTATTTTTTTAACATATGTGGCGGTTAACGAACCTTCAATGTGACACGTTATTGCCGTTCTATGAAAAGCGGCATATTACTCAAGGTTAAAAATTGCGTGAATACAATAAGTGAAACTAAATTAAATGAAATATGAGAGGGGATCGGAGGTTATGAAGCCTGCATACCATAGATAAGCTGTCAAAAGACATAATTAACAAGCAGGCAATACCCTAAGAATAATTAAACAGTATTTACCTGAGCAATACTGAGACCTTAAATTTTATTTTCAGTTAGAACTTCCGTCTACCATAATGTGTTTTGCAAGTATTTAAAAGGGTTTGTTACGTTTGGCTTTCTTGGATTTTAAGTTTCAACGACACTGAGGTCATGTGAAAACATTCCTGTATTAGTGTAAAGAATGACCCCAGATACCCTTTGTGAAACATTTCAGACAAGAGCGGGCACCTGTCTCGAACCACCGACCTTCCGTAAATTAGCTTGATAGATTCCTCAAATACAAAAAATCCAAAGTCATGATTGGATTTCAACTACAGCTGTAAATGAAAGATGATTTGAAAATAGATAAATACATAATCCCTAAAGAAAGCCCAACACGGCAAAATTGAAAATGTTGCAGGCTCGGTTTGATTGAGCCTGTTCATGGACGGTACTGGAAAGTGCAAGTTACCGTCCACGCCCCCTAGCACCGGCTTAAGCAGAATTCAACATTTAAACATGAAATAGTAAAATTTTGAATTTAGAAACATCCGCAGATGTGTTAACACGGCGGTTATCATTGAACCTTCAATGTGACACTTCCGTGCCATTCCATGAAAAGCGGCGTATGGTCCCCAAGTAATAAAAAGCGTGTGTCCTAAACGATAAAACAATGGGCGGAACTAATTAAAATAGAATTTTGAAAGGGGATCAGAGGTTATGAAGCCTGCATATCACAGAAAAGACGTCAAAAGACAAATTTAAAGAGCAGTCAACATATCCTAAGGGTGATTTAACATTATTCCAGTATTGAAGTCGACGGCCTTATCCCGACTCTGCCACTATTATATTACCTCCATCAGGCTCACTAAAGGAGATATTGTAATTGTCTGACCTTAATTTATATTCTATAACTTTCAATATTATTTTCTTTTTCAGAAATATTGAAACTGCTATACCAGGATGTCTGAAATAAAAATAAAACGATTTTTAATTTAATAATGACAAAATAATCGTAACTTCAACAAAGAAGATTTCGAAATGACGCCATGATCATAATTTGATTTGAATGCTTTTGGTTCGAGATGAGAAGGGTCTTTAAACATTGCATTTTTTCAAAATCTATGCGTTGGGTTTTCGTATCCCCGATTGCAACCGAAACCATTTTCAAACAACTTAATTGGTAGAAAGTCATGTAAATTTCATCACATTTAGTCAAGTAGTTACTGAGCGGATGAGATTGCACACACATGTGTACGATAGACAGACGAATAGCCATCGGGCTAACAAGCACACAGATATTTAAACGTTTCTGTTACATTCATACATTTTACCTAGTATACAATGTATATAGAAAATATCGAAGTCTAAACTGTAACCGAGACCTGGGTATAAACTGTAACAAAATCGGATAAAAATCGCTAGGTCTATTCTGTAACCCAGCACAAATCACCTCGCTCTATACTGTAACATTGTTTATTTTTTTAAAACGCATTTAACGAACAGGAGAATAGGTTAAACTGGTAATTTACTTTTATAAACGTTTCCTAACATAAAGGACTAACGTTTTGCAGATTTACTTTTTCTGAGCATGCATTAATAATGTCGAAATTGGAGAAAAATGCGTTGGTCTCTCGATTCAAATTTTCAAACTGTCAAATCTGCATATTTATTAGACAATAGAGCGATAAATCTGCGGTGCAGAGTCTGAAGAAATATATGACTAGATACCGGATTCTGTTCCTTACAAGCTAAGCACAGAACATCTTTTAGAAATTAAACTTCTTGTAGTATGGACCTGAATAAAATCCACCTACCTCTCTTCCAATAAATAATCCTCCATCTTGAATATTCTATACCTTAACCGAAAACGCGATACTGTAACACGTTCCCTACGGTGCATTTTGCGTAGGTCATAACCCAGTATTGCAAGACAGGCTCTGGAGTGGGTTCCTCAAGGTATAAATTGAAATGGAATGCCAACAAACTCGACATTGAGATGTAATACACTTTAAACATTATATGGATTTTGTAACATATACAGTATCCTGCGAATTTCACTAGAAATGACATTTGTAGTAGTATTTTCGTCGTATATATTAATGCCTAAGAGTACAATCATGTACATGTATTTTGTAAAATTTTGATATTTGATAAAATAGAATATTAGCACCTCACTTTTTTGATAGTTGATGCCATGTTGACTGTATTTTGACCGGGGACCAAAATATGCTAAAATAACAGTCGTGTTATTACTGCTGATGTGTTTGTTGTTTTTATATTTATTTTTGTTGGTGTAATAAGGTTACTTTTGTAAGACCATTTTGCCCCCTGTTTTTTTTTTTTTTTTTTTTTAATTTAATCTTACTTACTTTTGCAATCAACATGATCTATTGTTTATGTTTTAATTAAAATGGTGCTACAAAGTACAACACATACTTTACAATTACTACAAAAATAAACAATTGACAGATCAAATTTCAAAACAATTATTGTGAAAAACGTTGCAGTTTCTGATAAAATAAATGCACTTCGGTTACAGATATAAGAATATTCAAAGTATTAACTCACATGAGTTTCTAAATTTCCAAATTCGTGAACTTTGTCCTAAGTGCAAATTACTTGAAACAATAAATCAGTTATCAACCCTAGATAATATTGTTACTTGACACCTAGATTTTATACCTTATGTTTATCAACCGAGTACAAAATGTGATATGGCATATATAAATTAACGAATGT